GGGCTTTTGCGCTGCTTGGAGCGCCCGGAGGAGGAGATGGTCGCCGCGGGCCGGGAGCCTCGGGGTGAAGTCGGTGGGGGGACCCCCCCCTCCCAAGGCGGAAAACTCGTGGGCAGGCGGGGCAGTGAGAAACCGTTCCTTAAACAGCTCGGATCTCCAAAAAAATCCTATCAGGATCACGGAAACAACTTGAGAATGCATTTAAAAATGTACAAAAGGGTAAGGAAATCTAGTTTTGTTTTGCTGTTCAAAAGGTTTCCGAAGTTACAGATCTTATTTTTTTTTCCACCCAGCCAAACTCAAAGGAGCAATACCCGTTCGGGCGAGGCTCTCACAAGCTGGCTGCCGCCACCTCCCTCCAAGCCAAGGTTCTGAATCATCGCTGGGAAGGCCCACCGCCCATTGTGTTGTTGTTGTTGTGACCTTCCTCCGAAGGTCTAGGTCTTGGTTGGCCAAAGTCGGCCCTCCAGGCGGCGGCTAAGAGCAAAAGCTGCTGGGCATTGGGAGTTCGATTCCCCTGCTGGGTCTTCCTTGACGAGGGGCTGGACTGGATGATCTTGAGGGTCCCTTCCAGCTCCGCCGTTCTACGATTACACTAGAAACTCATACTAAGCATTTGATCTAAGACCCACCTGTTCGTCCTTCTGATGATCCGGAGATTCCCTAACACTCTTGCCGGGCATTTTTTAAATGTTTAATTCGCAATGACTTCCATAATTCCTGACCAGCTTAGGTCAGATCGCATGGGAACTGTAGTCCCGACCCTCTTAGCCCTGCCAGGCGGCTGTACTGTAGGGTCATGGCTGTTGTAGGAGGAAGGATCTGACCGTTCCTTTTCCCCCTGCACTGAATAAGCAAGGAGTGAACTAATACAGCTTATATAAGAATTTTGGAGCGCGAGTCATTTCCTGAGGGAGGCGAAGTCATCGCAAACAAGACACGCTTGTCAGCAAACTGGAATCGCCAGGCCTGATAATTAGTGTTTGTTTTTGTCCGTGTGTTTTTGTTTTGTAACACTGCTCAGCTGTTGGAAGGCTGCCCTTGGAGGAGAGGAAAAGGGGGGAACGTGGAAGCCACGCATCTCAGGGCTGTCCAGGACGGTGGGTCGCCTGACGCAGAAAAATGGCGTCCTCCCCCTGCCAAAGTCAGCCCAGATCTTTCGGGCAACATGCGGCAGAAAACCTCACAAAACATCTTTCCCACCCACGGACAGTACAGTGCAATGATAACAAATGAAACATCTCACCTTTTTCTGCCTTGGTCGGATCCTGATTCATTCTGCCTCCTGGTAGCACCAACCCTGTAACATCCAGAACTCAAGAAGTCATGAGTTACAAGTAACTTGTAATTGGCTACTTGGTGTCATGAACATACAGTTCAAAAATAGCAAGGAGGAATAAAGTTACCTTACCTGTGTAATGAGTAACATCTTCCAATTACTTTCCAGTTCCTTTTATAAAGGGCATTTTCATCCATTTTTGAAGGCCTTTTGATAGCAGTTTTTAAAATCGGATGCCCTTGTTTCGTCAGTCTTAATTTTTTTTGCTCAAAATACAAATGGGAAGTATAACAAACAATTCAAGAAGTTCCATTTCAACCTAGCAGCAGGTGTCTTTTTAAACACTAGAACTGCAAGGGAAACAAGTTACTTTGAAAAATAACTTTCCTGGCTCCTGTAGCATCAGATTTTTGTGTCTTTTTTCCCCCCCTCCATGTTAAATTATTATTTCTCCCCTTGTGTGGGAAGGATTATGCAATGTGGTGTTAGGTGGTGGAACTCATCAGCTGTTTTTGGTTGGTTTGTGGTTATCGCTAATTTCAGTTGTATTCTTTTCACTTATGTGGCGAAGTATTTTCCCTTTCAGATTGTAATTTTTATAATAGATTTAATTATGCTATATGTGGTTCGGAGTGCCTTTGGCCAGAAAAATGACAATACAAGTAACAAAACTGTATGTTAAGGAAGGACAAGTGTGTGGGTTTGTGTGTGTGTGTGTGTGTGTGTGTATATATATATACACACACAGTGGTGCCTCGCATAAGCGACGTTAATCCATGCAGCAAAAATAACTGCAAAGCGATTTCGTCGCTATGCGATTTATGTTTGTGTGTGTCTCTGTGTATATATATACACATACACATATATGTAAATCATATAAATATGTGTGTGTGTATATATAAGGGCTTTCCATGACCAGTGAAATACGAAGGTCTCATTCGCTTCTGGGCCTGTGATCACACATATATGTATATCATATACAACATATATGTCTGTATATATATATATAAGGGCTTTCCATAAGCAGGGAAATATGAAGGTCTCATTCGCTTCTGGGCCTGTGATTAATTCTCAGACTTTGGAGTCTCATCGTGAGTCTTCAGAGAGAAGGAATGCCTACCTAGACAAGCCAACAATCAAAAGAGCAACTATTGTGTCGTCAACATGAACTGGATGCTGAAAATGGACTAGTGGAGCTCCTGAAGAGTGTTTGATTTAGTCAGTTTCCTGATTCTGTCAATTTCACAGCTGTGGGATAGTCAATTTCACACCACAGAAAACTGTACAAGTTCCTTTTTAAAAAAAAAAAACTTTAAGGGAAAGAAAAACTTAAAAGTTATACCCAAACGGATGGCGGGCAGGAGATAAAAAGGGAAAGGTTGATGCCCTTCGGGCTTGACTCTGCACAACGACCACAGCAGGACGTACCTGTATTTATTTTGGCAAATGCCAACCTCACTCCTGGGACTTCGGTTTTCTCTTTCTCGGGGTCAAGGACGAAGTTCTGTGAATGCCTGGCAGAAACAGTTTCATCCAGTGACCCAGGTGAGATACGGAAAAAAAATAAAAGACAGTCAGAAAAGCCACAGCATTCAACATCCTGAGCATTCATCTTTTATTTATTTAATATTTCCAGCCCTTAAAGTTGAAAAAAGAAAGGTTTGAAAACTGCAATGCCTGGTGGAAGCTTTATTTTAGTTTTTGGTAGCTTTTCAAATTCTGGATTTGTTTTCTTGCAGTAGGAAGCAACGTATAGCATCTAAAACTACGGCTTGGTACCCACTGCATGCTCAATGTGCATGCCATTTTGGTGTGCGGACACTCCTCGGGCCAATGTCAGCTGTGGGATCATCTCCGAGGAGGAAATGCTGGTAGATCTTCTAACTGTATACCCTGCCCCATCTGCTCTCCGGTTTACTTTAGTTCTGCAGTCTCTGAAATGGCCAAGAAGAGGGTTTGGGGACCCTCCCGGGCGCTGGTTCACTTCCGCCTTGAACAGCCCTCGGGCAGACTCCGAAGGATGGCTTCCAGGTTCTGCTTATCCCTTCGGATCTCCTCCAGGTCCTCCTCATACGCCTCAATCCTCAGCTGCTGCTGCTCGGCCTCATCCTGCAGAGCGCTCAGCTTCCGCCCCAAGACACCGGGCTCCGTCAGGTGCACCTGCAGGTTTTCTAGCTGGATCCGGCTGGCGCTCAGCACAGCCTCAGATGGAGCTGTGTCCTTTAGATCACCTGGAGAGAAGGGAAATGAGCGTCTTACGCTCGATGGAGGGTTGCAGGATCTGTCCTCCATCATCCCAGAGCATAAGGATGTCCAACGGATGGGCTCAAGCCAAAGGAAGCCAGATTTAGGCTGAGTATTAGGAAATTTTTCTTAACTGTTAGAGATGTACAACAAGGGGACCCCGGACCTCAGGGGGAGGTGGCGAGCGCTAATGGGACTGCCGTCTGTCAGATGTGTTTTGACTTCTTTGTCGCAACCTCTGGAAGCTCTATTTTTGCTGAGCTTCAGCCACCCAAAAAGTCTGAGGACGGCTTGACGCAAACCCCCTTAACTGCAGAAACTTAACTGAGGAAGGTGTACTACAGAACTTCAAACCCATTTGAAACAAAGAAAAAAAAACACAAAGGAACTTGTTAACGAAGTGACGATTGCCCTCTCGTGGTGCTATCTGGCATTGGCTGGCTTTCCATGCTGGAGCAGAACTGAAATAGTCGCTAGAAGGGAAACTACAGGTTAGATGCTATTGCATGCCCCTGATCTCTTTTTCAAAAAACAAAATACAATCCTAAAAAAAGAAAAGAAAATAAAAGAAAGAAAAGTGGGGCACTTCTTCCCCTCCAAAAAGAACACCAGCATAGAAATATTAAAGAAAAAAAGTTCAGAGTTGAAGTGGCAGCTTTGATCCACCTTCACAAACCAGTAAACCAGTTCTGCGGTTGTTCATTTCCACCAGGAACATGTCTTTTGTAAAGCTAATGGCTCCTAATTCTTCTTTCCAGACCAATCTGCCAGAAAAAAGAACGACAGTCTCGCGTCCATGCCAACAGCCTGGGACAGCACACACCATCGCATCCTTAATGGGGGGGGGAAAATCTATCCGCCGTCCATCTCTGCTATCGTGAGAGTTCAGCTAGGCGGGCATGTTTCTGGATACTTATCGCTGGCCCCCAAAAGGAAACAGTGGAAAAAGAAAAGAAAGAAAAAAACATGCATGCATGCTTCCAACCACTCACCTAGGCTGCTGAGCAGGCGGTTCAGAGTCGCAATGTCCTGCTCCAAAGAGCGTTGAGTATCCTGGAGGCTCTGGTTGAGAGCATTCATCTCCACTGCAACCTTCAAAAAAGGGGGGGTTCTTAGGTTAGTTTAAAGGTCTAGATCGACTGACAGATCTCTGGGCATTCTGCAACAGATGGTTAAGGATCTCTGATTCTTAGCTAACAGGAGTAGCTAGAAAAGGATCCCCCCCAATGCACCCTGCCCTAAATGAGCAAATAAATGAATATATTTTTGCACAGAAGGTCTGTAAGCTTCATTCAGTTCTGGTGCTGAAAATAGCTGAGCTCAAACTCATTAATTCTACATGGGGGCGGGGGGGGGGGTTTGCACCAGCCTCTAGCTGTCGATGGATCGCCAGTTTGTATAAGCCAGCCAGCAAACAGGGCGGAAGCTCATTCGATCTCCCAGGCCTTAGAAGAGAAGGGAAAAGGCAGTTTTTCAAAGGAAAGGCAGTTTCGTCAGGAGGAGGGTCCTGTGTCCCAGGAGGTGACCTTTGCTCCCCCAGTGGAATGCAGACCACAGGTGGAGGACCGGGCGCAGCCGAAAACATGGACCTCGAAGAGGCCACTGCAGGCCACGGGGAGCCAGCCGGATTTCGGAAGGGACGGAGAAGGGGTGGATGATCTTTAAAAGGCCAAGTTGATGGAGGAGAAACGCCACTGACCTGGTCGAGCCCCCCAAGGGTCTTTCCCAGCTCTTCAGCCTCTTGCTCCTGGCGGGAGGTCTTCTCCACGGTCAGTGCGACGCGCGTCTTCAGCTGACCGGCGCGCCTCTTCTCCTCTTTTGCCCCTCTGACTACATCCTGGGCCACCTGCAGGGAAAAGACAGCCAAGCCCGGGGGGGGGAAGGGAATTCGCCGGGTGTCTCCTTTCTTGGGGGCCGGGAGGGGACCAAGTCCCAAGCCCCAGGACCCTCTTAAAAACAAGCTCCCCCCCCCAGAGGGAAAAAGGGAGGGACGAGTGGGTTCCGAATCACAATCTGAATCTGAGTCATTGGGGGAAAAAACCAACACCTGAGTTTGGTCAGTGGTGAAAGGCCACACGTGGGTCCCCGCCTGTTCATACCTGCGCGCTTTCCTTCGCAACCCGATCAGCCTCCCTCGCCGTTTTCTGCGCCGCAGCAGAGGCAGACGCCAAATCCCCCAGCATCCCTCGGGCCTGCCCCACCTTCCTCTGGGCCTCTGCGAGGGTCCGGTCCCGCACGAGGGCCATCTTCCTCCTGGTGGGGCTCTGGCCCCTGCCGTGATGGGCCGCCAGCTTCTTGAGCCCTGTTAACAGAGGAGGAGGAAGGAGAACAGGGTTGTCTTTTTCCTACCTGCTTTTAAATCCATATTGCAACTTGTCTTCCTTCCTGCAAAAGGAAAAAAAAAGCGTGGTCCTGGTTAGTTCGAGTCAATGAACTGGGTTACCCTCCAGGCTGGTCAATAAGGCCTTGGCTTCGGAGACCACGTCTTCTCCCTTGGAGACGGCCGAGGCTGCCAGCGCATGGGCATCCTCTGCCCTTTCCCAGAGCTGTGGAGAACAAAAACAAGGCAGGATTGAAACCATCCACGCACATGACACATCTCCCTGCCTTATCTCCGATGGCTCCTCCAGCAGCCATACGCCCCCCCCTCCCCTGCAAGTGGAGGAGGCTCACGAGTCGACATTCAAAACTTCTACCGGAGGTTTCTTCTTTTCCTCTTCCCTCCTCCTCGCCTTTTCCTTTTGTGTCATGGCTTTTCAGATTGTAAGCTAGAAGGGAGGGATTCCCCTGCTCTTCTTCTCTAGGATTTTTATATGTATATTAATGGCAGAGAGGGAGGGGGGTATCAAAACTCAGGCTAGCCACCACGGCGGAAGCAGAAACAGTTCAGGTTCATCTAGAATTTCCCAATCCGTTTCCAGTCTGTGGCTCCTCTTCAAAATGTGCCAGTCGAGAAAGGTTGCTTTAGAGCGGCCTTCGGTAAGCTGACGCTCCCCTGACATTTTGGACTACAAAACCAACCCTCCCCTGCCAGCAGGCATGCAGAAGACATTATGGGATTTGTAGTACAAAACTACCAACAGGGGAAGATTACTATCTATGGATGTGTGTTTTATTGTATTGCAATTTTTTCTCCCCCCCATCCAATGGAGAGGGGTAGGCACTCCACCTTCTGGGGAGGATGTTTACCTGTTCCAGCTGCTGCACCTGTTGAATTTCGCCTTGCAGCCCAGCCTGGACCGTGAAGGATCCGTTGGCTCCCTGCTGGCCTCTCAGCGCTACGTCCCGGGCCAGCCCACGGGCCTCCTGATTAAGCTTCTCGGCTCGATGCACCAGGGGGCGCTGCAGGATCAAATACCAGAGAAAGTTGGGTTTCTAGCAGAGAAGAACAAGAGTCTCCTTCTGGTTGGGAGCGGGGTTGACCTCAAGTTCCTTCGCCAGAGGGCAGGAACCCAAGAGTTTAAAAAATTCAAATGGTGAGAGACGCTGGCAGCGATAGAGTCAGCCAAGATCCAGCTTTGGAGCTAGGATGTAACTAGTTGCAACCACCTAGTTACTTGTTCAATAACACTGTAACTAGTACAAGTAACTAGTTACTTTTGGTTAATAAATAGTAAAGCCAATTGGCCTTGGTGCATCCTGTTCTTATTTTATTAATGTTTTAATTCTTGTGTATTTCGTGCTTAGTACTGTATGTTTTACCTATTGTTGTAAACTTGAAGCTCTCAAGTGCCTTGTGCTAATGGAGCAGCATATAAATCAAACTAGTACTACATGTTTTACCTATTGTAAACTGCCCAGAATAGTGCTTTGTGCTAATGGAGCAGCATATAAATCAAATTAAACAAACAAACATTATTTTTCTATAATAAGAAATACCTAGGTTATTTAAGTGTAAGGAATAACACCTAGTTACTTTTGGTAGTTACTACTTAAGGACATTTTAAGGATCTCTTTAGAGACATTTTGATACTGATTTTTCAGGTTTTATACAATATTCTTTTCAACGATAAGTGGTATGTTGATTTGATTTGATTTTAAAAATCTTTTCAAGAGCAGCGTCAGAGGAAACCAAAGAACATTTCCCTGTACAGTATTTTTTTCCTGCCCTGCTGGCAACAACAGCACAACATCTTCAAAAATGTGCAACTCATTATGTAAACTTTTGTGCAATAGGACCCAACAACAGTGATTAAGAGCAAACTCGCCCGACGAGAAGTAATGAATAGCAACATGTGTTTATTTTAAAACGGGACTTCTGGAGCCCTCCCAGGCCAACGTCTCAGCTCTTTGAAAGACGGCTTTGGAAATTTGTGTGGTTTTAGCACACACACACAAACCCCTTTTCTTTTCTTTTTTCTTGAGATGCTCCACAGCTCTAACAACTCCTGGGCTGAAATGCAGAAATAAGCTGCAACAAGACCAGGTTCACTGAAACAGAGAGATTTGGTGAGTCTTGATTAAACGGGCTCACTTCAACTGCAACCTGCTCCTGGATTCCAGAGCAAAACAAAACAAAACAAAACAAAACAAGCTCTTGATGAAATGGACTCACTCCAACTGCGACCTGTTCCTGGATTCCAGAGCAAAAAAACCCAGAATGTTTCTGGGAACTAGTGATGGGCACGAAACGCTGGATTTGATGGTAACTAGTGTTTGAGGCTTCCAAGCCTTGCCTCCTCCAGCAGGCGCCCCCACTCAGAGGCCCTGCCTCCCCTGGGAGCTGCCCCTTGAGTGGGTGTCTGCTGGAGGAGGCGGGGCCCTGCCTCCTCTGGGAGCTGCCCCTTAAGTGGGCGCCTGCTGGAGGAGGCGGGGCTGGGAAGCGCCAAACACCTGTTTGGCCACAAAACGAACCAGTTCGTGCCCATCTATAGTGGGAACAGCTACATCTAGTGTATTTGGCCAAAGTAGTTGAGGAATATTTCATTTCTATTAATTTCTGATATATAATTTTAAGGCTGCAGAGCAGGAAGGGACCCTACATGGATCATCACGTCCGGGCCCTGTCAAGGAGGCCCCAGTGGGGGAATCGAACTCCCAACTTCTGTCTCTGCCGCCAGAGACGTAATGCATTGAGCGGTCAACGACTACAGATTCCATTATGTTCGAAACAGAAAGAACTCGCATGTTTTTAAAAGTAATGCATTGAGTGATCAATGACTACAGATTCCATTATGTTTGAAACAGAAAGAACTCGCATGTTTTTAAAAGCTGAGACGTGAGGGAAGGTGAAATTGAAAAAAAACCACCTCTGGTTCTTAGTTTCTAAGCGGGATGAATGGTGGAGTTATCATTTAAAAAAGAACAGAAAATAACTATATTTGCATTTCCTGTTTGCTCAATTTGCTCTTGTTTTATAACTTTTCTAGAGCTCACCAGCTCCAGGGTAGAGATCCAGGAGAGGTTCTTCGCCATTTCCATGTTAGTCCGATGGACGGAAGCCAACGTTTTCTTGGCTTCCTCTGCTGCCCCTTCCATCTCAGAAACGAGTTTTTCTTGTGCCTCTTGGATTTTCTGGTACCTGCACGGAAAGGATAACAGAAACCAGTTAAAAGAAGAGAGAAATGGATGATGGTGATGATGATGATGATGATTTTGCAGGAGAAGACCAGTAAGGTCCAGAGATGGACATGGGTTAAAGTTCCCGAGAAAAGTCCATTTTTTTTCTTCCTGTTGATCGGCTTTTGTGACGAACTTTAAAAGTGTATCTACATGACCGCAGTTAGAAGAGTTTGGTACGATTTCAGATGTCACGGCTTCTTCTTACGAAAGCCTGGGTTTTGCGATACGGCGAGGCGCTTAGTATTCTCTGAGCTATAATTCAGGCAGATGCGCCGAAGCTCTCAAGCAGAGAACTTGTTAAATGTCACTAAACTACAAATCTTAGGAATTATGTAGGATGGGAGCCATGGCAGTAAAAGTGATATCAAATTGCTGTAACTGTAGATAAAATCAGAGTCACTATTTCAGAGCTAATGAAAGCTGCCTCCAAAGCAGTGGTTATTGATTACTCTTCAGGGGGGAAATGTCTAAGAGGCAAAAGACTGGCAAAAAATTATGGATGTGTTTGTGTTTGGGGGGGTGTTGTAGTGTGTGTGGTTTGTTTGTTTGTTTTTTGCACAACTCTAAACAGATTCTGAATGGACCTAGAGAGAGATCACATGGATTGGCGTCACAGGCGCTAGCCAAGAGGTCCTGGTCATGGCTTGCTTTTGCTGAAAAGTTGTAGGACTGTATTGCTCTTGCATTGCTCAGGAAAGGACTGCACTATACTGAGGACTCTGCGTCCTTTCAGCTCTTAGCTAACACTCCCAATCTCTCCCAAGATGACTTCTCTCTTTTCGTTTTTTTTGCTTTGTCTAGAGTATCAATGGGATCTGTCCCAAAATGACTTCTCTCTTTTCGTTTTTTTTTTTGCTTTGTCTAGAGTATCAATGGATTTAAATAAACTTTTCTTATCCAGGGATTATCCTGTCTCTGGGGGCTAAAGGGGAAGGTATAGAATGTCTGGCAGCCTCTTCTCTGTAAAGATGGAGGAAACAAACATTAATTCACCTACGGCTGGTTCTAGAAGCTTCTATCGTGAGATTTCACCTTATAGACCCGGAGACCTCAACATCTGGCCCGGAGTTTTGGACTTTTCTCTCCCCCCCACCCAAGTTCGAAACGCTAGGCTCAATGGTCCTGCAAGATATATTTTCGTGGTCTAACAAAGACATTACCGGTTCTGATTTCCGGGGATGGGGATTTGAATTATGGGACTGGCCGTCAAGTCAAACTTAAGTCACACTGGTGACTCAATTTGGGTTTTTGTTTTCAGTGAATCGGACTTGAATTGTGACTCCCTTTTTTCTGGGGGAAAAAGCTTGTTTTTAATAAGGACAGAGACTTGGGGCTTGGGAGTCAAGACCTGGAACCTAAGACTTGGATTAGAACTCAGGACTTGGTACGTAGGCCTCTGTCCTTCCGCCTCTGCCACCAGACGAGGCTGCCTCACTTTGTCTCGCGATAGGGTCGGCCCTCCTCGGGATCGGTTTCGCCCCTTCCCCACGTACCTCTCTTCCATTTGTCTCCTAAACTCCAGCAGAGCCTCGTCCTCTACGATGCCCGGCAGAAGGTGGGAGCTGGCGTTGGCCGTGCGCAACGCCTTCCTGGCAGTGTCTTCCACCACGTCTGCAGCTTTCATGAGGCTATGGAGAGAAGCCTTTGTTCGCTCGTGAACGACTCACTCGCTTAACAATGAACATTTGACGTTACAGCAGGATCAGTTCGGAGCCCCCCCCCGAAAGATGCTAAAAAACGCGGGTCATAGCCAATGCTATTTTAATAACATTATACATAGCGTGGTCTCTGTCCCCCTCTATTGGCCAGTTCTGGTAATGCCATCGTGGAAATATTCTACTGAAAGCTATACAATAGTCTGGTTTCTGTCCCCCTCTAGTGGCCAATTCTGGTAACTTCGTCATTAGAAATCTATCTCTCTAGGATTTTTCTTTTAATGTTTTTAATATTTCCAGACTGTGGATAAGTGAATCAGCGGATATTGATCCCATGGATAAGGTGGTCCTACTATAGATTTTTGCATTGCAGAGATATGGAAACGTACCTCCGGGATAGCTGTCTGGACTCCAGCGCAGCACGCGACCAGTTTGTGGGTGGGTGAGAAATCTCTGGAGGAAATTCCTTGATGGAAATCAGGGAAGGGGAGGGGGGAGGAAAATACATTTCTCAGTTAGCGATCACAGCTTCTTCTTGGAAAGCCCTGCCTCCAGCCGATCCCACTCTGCGTACAAAAGATTTAGGCACACCCTGCGGGAAGCGGGTGACTCGGAATGTTTTTATTCTTATTTTCATTTAGCGGAGGAGACAAAGAGAGGGGGATGCGGGAGGGAGACGATAGAAAGAGTTGGTTCAGTTACTGAATATTTGCCCACCGATGGCGAAGGAGCTTAGCCCTTGGGGAATAAGGCCCCCCCCCCGGTAATAAGGAATATGAATGTTGCGGGACGAGGCAAGAGAGAGGCAGGTAGGTAGGTCTTAGATACCATTGCACCCAAAATCTCAGATGTCAGCTGGATGTTCAGATGCGCGGATTGCAGGGTGGACTGGATGTCCGAGAAAAGGACACAGCCCTTGGCGGTTCCTTCCCGACCGTCGCAGCCAGCCAGTCGACGGGCGCTGCTCAGCCGGATCTGTGCCTCGCGCACCATCTCCTCTAGTTCGGCTGTCTCCTCTAGAAAAGCCAACTTGGCCCCTGCAAGGAAGACCATCAGCGTTGGCGGTGGCTTCTCCTGGACCCCCACGTTGGGGCCCTGGGCTGAAGACGATGGGGGTTATAGCACAGGGAGGGGAAAGAGGGTCTGAGATTTCCTCTCTCAAAGTTCGGAAAAGCTCTTTCTAAAAATATATATGTTATCTGTTGCCGTTGTGAGCCCCCGATCCCACCAACTCCAGATGAGTACGTCTCTGTCATCAGATTTCTTGGAAAATTCATTTTTTAAAAGTTGCCAGTTGCAGTTCAGAGGATCCCCGCTAAATTACGTCATTGCCGTTATATGCTATCAAGTTGTTTCCAGCTCACAGCAACTCTAAAAGGGGTTTTGAGGTAAGTGAAATTGTCTAGGAGTGCTTTATCGTTGTGTTTCCATAAAATCAGATAGCCACTGTTCTAGTTCCAGATTTTGCCCACCTGTATTAAACACAGGTACAGTTAAAGCACAAAAACAGCCGAGGTGTCTCCGATTGTGTGGCAAGCACCACGGATTCGTTAAAAACTAACTAATACGCCCAGCGTGGTGTAGCAAACAGAGGAATGGACTAGGGCTCTGGAGAACACGGTTCAAATTCCCTGCTCAGCCATGGAAGCTCCCTGGGCGGTGGGGGTGGAACTGGTCAAACCACTCCTCAAATCCCTCACTTACCTTGAAATCCCTGTTAGAGTCGCCGTAGGTCAGTTCCGACTTGATGGCATGCAACACACAAACCAATATTTAGCAAACAAGCCGGCATTGGGGGCGGTCAAGACAGAATGTGGGAGTAGAATCGTAACGAAAGAGACCGTATGTGGAGATGGCTATCTGAAACGCTACATCCCGTTCTGCTAAAACCATTTCCGCCTCCTGCCTCTTTACCTTTCAGAAGGTACTGGTTATGTAGGTTGTCTCCCCGTGGTACCTCTCCTCGCGTGGCATAGTCATAGCCCTCCCTTGGCCTGTCACAGCTCGGTTTCTGCAACCACAGTTCTGCCTCTGTGAGCTGGGCCTTCAGCTTATCTGCCTGGAACAGAAAGAGGTCAGGATGAGTCGGCCTTGGAGGAGAAAAATTCAAAGAATTAAAGGCTCATTGACTCTCTAGAACACAACCTCGCATTCTCTCCTTTCCCCCATTTGTCCTCTGACTTTTTTTTAAAAAAATCTTACATATATGAGATTAGTGCTAAATCACTCTATCACCTTATCACTGGGTCATCGTTATTATTACTTCCCATATTTATGGCCCTGTTATTTCCCCATCAGATCGGCAGAGGTGGGACCAGAGGAAGGGAGGACTAACAGAGGCAGGACTAGAGGAAGGAAGGAAAGTTAACAGAGGCAGGACTAGAGGGAAGGAAGGAAAGAAGGTGGGGGCTGAGAGCTAAAAATCACATCACATCTAGTATGAATGGTGAATGTAGTACAGCTGCGTAATACAAGTAGATGAAAGGGCTGATTGCAGATTAAAACAAGCAAGCAGAATAGCTCAGTAACAGGAAAACTTACTTCCTCCTTCACGAGGCCGTAGCACAGGGGACACTCCTGGCACTCCCTGCTCCCAAGGTCGTAGAAGTAGTTGGCTTCGCACCGGTCGCACTTGTAGCCCACAAATCCCCTTTTGCACACACACGTGCTGTTCTCGTGGCACTGGGTGGACACAGAGCCCATCTGGGAGCAGTTGCACGCTAGGAGAATGGGAATATGCCACTAATCTGTGTGTCTCTGTGATGACTCAAACTAGAGATGGGCGCGAACTGCTGGTTCGGCAGTTCGTGGCGGTTCGTCCTTTGGATGAGCAGGTGTCTGGTAGTTCCTAGCCCCGCCTCCTCAGAGGCGGTGCCCTGGCTTCCCTGCCCCGCCTCCTCTGGGAGCTGCCTCTTGAGTGGGTGCCTGCTGGAGGGGGCGGGGCTGGTAGGCGCTGAACCCCTGTTCACCCCAAGGACGAACTGGCACAAACTGACAAACCCATCTCTAATTCAAACCACAAGACGCTAGAGGCGCCGAACACCTGTTCACTCCAAGGACGAACTGGCACAAACCGACAAGCCCATCTCTAATTCAAACCACAAGACGCTAGTGGCCAAAAAATACATCTTAATGATTTAAAATGAGGTACGCTGGAGCTATCCCCAAAGAAACTGCCCCTCACAGAGGGAAGAAAGAGAGTTTATATATATATATATATTGAGATGGCAACATTTTAACAACAACACACTTTGAATACAATATACCAGACATAACAGTCCTAGAACGAAGAAATGTCTGGATCGGTGACATTGCTATTCCAGGGGATGCCAGAGCTATAGATAAAGAATTGGAAAACTTAACAAAAGTGGATGAAACAGTGGGGCAGTGCTTGTGGGTTGCATTTGGGTCCCCGATGATAGCGAATCACACGGCACGAGGAGAGAGGCCCGGTCTCCCTTTGGCCAGGATGCGAAAACGAAAAGAATATATTTGCAAATATAATTGTTTCCGCCTCGACGGACTTTACCTCTGCAACCTTGGAAGGAGAAGCCAAAGAAGCCGGACTGGCACCGATCACACGATGCTCCTTCGACCCCCGGGCGGCAGACGCATTGGCCTGTGACCGGGTGGCAAAGGTTGTGCTGGGCACCCACAGTGTGGCACTGGCATCTTGCAGGGAAGGAAAAAGAGGCAGGAAGTAAAGGAGAACGACGGGTATAAGCCCTCCTCTCTCCCACATACAGGTCTTTCGCGAAGCCAACGGGTCTTAACTGCCCAACCAAGAACAAACCATCTCGGTAGGATGGCCTTTTTTGCAGCCACATCACGCGGCTGGCTCCTACTCAGCTGGTGACCTACAATAACCCCCAGATCCTTCTCGTTTGTAGTATCACACAGCCAAGAACCGCTCACCTTGTACCTGTGCATTTGGGTCCCACCCACTTTAGGTGTAGGGCTTTGCCCTTATCCCTGTTCAATTTCATTCTCTTGTTTCCTCTCCTTCTAGCCGTCTCGTATCCGTTACCTTTTGCACCCGCTTCCTTGCTGCAGGTCAAAATAGCCATCTTCGCACCGGCCGCAGTCTCGGCCAGTCACATGGGGGAGGCAGCGGCACTGACCCGTGACCCCATCGCAAACCTCTAGCCCATGGGTAGAGCCCCTTGGATTACACTCGCAGGCTGGAGAAAGAGAGAGAGGAAGAGATCCCCCCTTTACACGACCGTCACACCTTGAATGCGGCCATTGGTCTGTTTTCTGACATGGATGATGTGGGAATCAGCTTGAAGACATCTGAAAGCCATCAGATCGAGGGTGACGACGGCAGGCAATGAGGAGTCAGGGCCTAAAACAGTACAAGGACCCCAGTATCTGCTGGGGTTCAGTTCCAAGACAACTCCCCCCGCGGAGGCTGAAAAATGCAGACTATAAAGAACATTATTTTAAGAGCCCATGCCATCCACAATGTGGTCTCTGGCTCCCTCGAGTGGCCAGTTCCGGTAACAACGTTGTGGAAATATGTATTTCTACCATTTTTCTTTTAATATTTTTAATAATTTTTGACCATGGGTCAGTAAATCAGCAGATACTGTGCCCCTGGGTACTGTGTGTGTGTGTGTGTGTGTGTGTGTGTGTCCCATTATCTAGGAAAACAGGCTTCAGGGCATCCCTTGGATTGAATGGGCAGCCTGTACTCACGTGTGCATTTCTTAGTCGGGCTGGCGGCTAGTGGGTTCCCGTAGAAGCCCTCCTGGCACGCCTCGCAGCGCTTCCCCGCCGTGTTGTACAGGCAGCGCAGACACCGGCCCGAGGCAGCATCGCAATTGCCCACAGCATTGGGGTCCACGTTGCCGCTGCATTCACAAGGTTCACAAGGGCGAACCGGTCCGTTCTTTCCTAGGGGGTCTCCGAAGAAGCCATCCTCACACAGCTCACAGAGTCTTCCTGGAGCAAGCGAGAAGAAGTCAGAAGGATCGTGAGGTTTACATAGCCGATCCATCATGTCTGGGGACTTCAGAGGGGGTTCATCAGAGTTTAAAGAAGGGCTGCCCAAAACAACAACAACAACGTTGCTTTCCACACGAGTACGTATGTGTGGTCGCCACTTCCTGGTCAAACAGGTGCGGCAGGTTTTTGAAACAGAAAAGCCTGCCAAATCTGTTTGATTAGAAAATAAAGGTGAAATGAGGATCTGGAGGGACCCTCCCGTTCTATCTGCAGAGGACAGAAGCCCACACAGAGGTCGTACCTACCTCTCTGTCTTGGGGGGCAGTGCGTACATACCACCTCTTCGCTCTCAGGGATGGTGGTGCAAGGGCCCTGGGCTGGGCAGGGGCAGGGTTTACAGTCATTGAAGGAGCCAAAGAAGGGGCTGCCATAGAAGCCAGACACGCAGCGCTCGCAGGAAGGCCCCTCCGTGTTGTGCAGGCATTGGCAGAGACCTGGGGGAGAGGAGGAGAGGATCAGGCAAGCCAAGAGAGAGAGAGAGAGAGAGAGAGAGAGAGAGAGAGAGAGAGGGTGAAAGGAGCTAATAGTTTCCTGCTTCTCTCGTGAGATGATCTCTGTCTCGGGTGGCAAAATCTGGATGTCATATTGGTAAGCAGAGGATAGAAACAAAGAGACCTAATATAGGGGAACAAAATCCATCACAATTTTCTTCTGTAAAACAACATGCACGCACATACACTACACACGCACGAAAACCTATTAAATATCAATAGTTTTGTGCAGTTAAAAATGGATACGGAAGAAGAAATAAGAGAGGAAAACAAAGAATGAAATTGTATGTCATTAAATTGCATCTTTTAGCGATTACAGAGTGGTTGATCAAATTGCATTAACTCTTTTAAAGAAAGCTACAGCTTCCTTTATTAAACACCAGAAGAAACAGATATAATGACTTCTTTTCATTAGCTACTTTGAAAATGAGTTGACTACAGCTCGAGAGTCCTATTACTGAATGTGGTTATCTAACATTTTTTTTCTGTATAATGGTACCAACGCTGTTTTTCCTCCTTCTCCTTCTGCAGTACAGCAGGACCTCCCAGATCCGCCGGGGATGGGTTCCAAGCCCTCCGCGAATACTGAAATCCGTGGATAATAACAAAAGCTATACATAGCAAGGTCTCTGGCTCTCTCTAGTGGCTAGTTCTGGTAATGACTTCATGGAAATATATGTGGGTCCTACTGTATATTAAAGAAGCCAAGTTGGGAGTAGTTGGGGGACAGCACCACTTGGAAGCAATTTTCCTAAAGGACCGTTTAGTACTATCGTGGAAACCAGAAGAGACAAGACGGGAACAGAAGCTGTTTTGCTTTGGAGGTGTACCAGAAAAGGAGTGACAGAAGGGCGGAGAAAAGAACATCTGAAGGAAGAAGAAAGAACAGGCCTTGTGCAGGGAGAGGAGGGAGAGAGAAAGCCCAGGAAGCATCTCTCCCTGGTGGATGCACGGCCTGGCGGGTGGAAACGAGAGCCGAGAGATCAAAGCCTGAGAACTGTAGCCGGGGTTTCTTCAAAACCCAAAAGCGAGACCAGATGTGGTGGAAATCCGTAACAGAAAAAGCCTGTCGGTGGAGGGAGAGGAAAGGCTGAACTCAAAAAGACAGTGCGATTTTTATTTCACCGGAGGAACAAAGCTTGGAAGAAGAAGCTTCTACTGGGGGGGGGGGACACACACAACTTGCACTAAAATGGAAAAGAACAATCCAGATGTCGGAAGGGGAGAAACTAGAGCATCCGCAGCATCCTGGCAACCTCAGGGCATGGTTGCGGTGGAGTCACATATTTGGAACAGAATAAGTCCAAAATGCATATAAAAACAAACAGACAGACACTGAGTGACTTGTATTATGGAGTCAAGTCCCAAACTTTGTATGGGTTTTTTAAATAAAGTAAACACAGAAACTGTTATCTTGTGCAGCCAATGGAAAATTCATTTCAGGGAACCCGGGGCCACCTGTCCGCTCCTAAACAGGGACACTGGGAAGATCTTCCACCATAACGTTGTGGGTAAAGACATTTTGTCGGCCGCTGCTCCTTGTCCGACCACTGCGTGCCGCAACCCAAGTTTAGCCCCTCAAAAGTAAGGAAAGCATCATAGCAAGTCATGGGTTTGACACCGTGTAGGACTCAAGATGAGCCTGGCATCGCTTGGAGGGTGGGGAAAAAACTGATACGGTTAGACATGTATCTGCTACAATATGAGTCAACGCTCCATTAACAGTGTTGTTAATTAAAACTGCTTAAAATGGAATAAGATGTTTGTCCTGTTCTTCTCAGTAGCGCAGCTCCTCCCTCTCTCTCTCTCTCTCTTGGTATGCTTATGAAAACTTCCCTTTGAAATGTTAGGAGATTATTATCCACACAGGAATCTTTTCCAAATGTGGGAGGCCCATGACATCACCCACACCCACACAGATGCCATATTAGAAGGCATTTTCCTTTCCCGAACGGGGTCCTGTAGTTTCAAGTGCCATTCCCCACCTCCTCGAAGATGATAAAATCATGCAGCTATATTACGAGCAATTTACAGTGTAATTGCCCAGTAATTAGAAAGCTCCATGGGCCTCTGGAGATAAATGGGCGCTGATCAGCTTGTTGAACGAGAAAAATCATAGGCAAAGGTAAACTACAGTGTAAGGTAAATTTCAGGATGAATTTTTGGTCCGGAGGCGGACCAAAACTGAACAACAGAAGATTCATCAACACTGTGAAATCAGTGATCTTAGCCCTGTTCTCTGTCCTCGATCCTCCCAGAGTGCAGGGTGCATAAATAATGGGCTACAGGAAGCCAGATTTAGGCTAATACAAAAAACTTCTTAACGACAATGGAACCTGCGACCTTGGGAGGTGGCGAGCGTGCCGACACTGGGGCGTTCAAGAGAAAAACAGACAACCCTCTTTCGGACAGACTGTGAGTTGGATTCCCGGGGGGGGTGTGTTGGACTCAATGGCCTTGTTAGACCCCTTCCAACGCCAACATTGGGGCGCTCAAGATAAAAACAGACAACCCTCTTTCGGACAGACGTTGACTTGAATTCTTGGGGGGGGGGTGTTGGACTCGATGGCCTTGTTAGACCCCTTCCAACTCCATCGTTCTCAGAATCTATGAACAGGCAGAGACAGAACGGACCTGTGTCAGGATCACAGTCGCCATGTTGGTTGCAAGAACAGGGAACACAGCTGGTCAAGGGACCTCCGAAGGGCGCTTCCCGCTTGAAGCCCGGAGCGCAGGACTGGCAAAATTGGCCCACGTAACCTCGGGGGCAGAGGCAGTCTTCTACCCACAGGGCAGGCGGGGAGAATCCCGGGCGGGCAGACACGAGTCGGACCTCCTTCAAGGAAATCCGTCCTGCAGGAAAGGGAGAGAAATGGGGGGGAGGGGTTTCAGAGGAATAAGGCTCGAGCATCATTCAAAAGCAAAGATGCTCGTGAATGTCAGTCTTTGCGCATCGCAAAAACAAAGCGACCCCGGGTTGCAATTTGTGGAATGAGGTAACTGATCAGAGTGATTCTCTTTTTACACAAAATGCAGCAGTTTGATACCCCTGGAACAGGACAACCCCATCCGACAGAGTCTTGGGGATATAAAATCTTCTGCCGGAATGCTCTGGAGCATTTAAACAGAATTTCGCTTAAACCCCTCCAGCAAAGAAGACCCCATCAGCTCCGAAAGTGGTCAATTCACGATTAGGAAGTTTCTCTTAAGTTTCAGCAAAGTATTATGGTTTTGTGGGGTTTTTTGCTAGTTTCACCGTTTTTCTGATGACTTACTCCAACTGTGGCTGCTTTCCGCCCGGATCCGAAGCCCCGTCAGGTTGGAGAGCAGGCGCTGAAATTGGAAAGCTGACAGAGCAGGCTGCATCTCTCCCTCTTGAAGCCTGTGGGAGAGCAGTCCAGAATTTGAAGCGTACGCAGAGCAAATAAACAGAGATCTCATCGCCTAAACTATAAGACCTTGAACCTGGCTTCTTCTTGTTTTTCTTTAAGGCCCTAGTGCCTAATAATAAGAATAATCTTAAAACTGCAAGGGACTCTTATGGATCATCCAGTCAAGGAGGAGCAGTGGGGAATCAAACTCCCAACCACTTGGATCCACAGCCAGGCGACCAAACCACCGAGCTATCCAGCAGTTCTGGATTTAGGAGCATTTAGGAGTGATTTATACCTCCTTCCAGAAGGACTGACCAGGGAAATTTCTTTCTTGTTGGTAACTAAGAGTTCACTGAATAAAGTGCATTGAAGAACCGGCTGTGTGTTGTTTTTATGGCTAATGCAATAAGCTGTTAAACTATCTTTTATTCTATTATGTACTTTGTTTTTAGTTTCTCTGGGTTTTTTAAAATCATATCGTGAGCCGCTTTGCATCCCCGGGGTTGGGAGAAAGGCAGGATGTAAAACTGAATCGATCAAACGAGCCATCAAATCAAACATGTTTTAATGACAACGCTTTAATTTCAAATGAAAATAGGTACCTAGGTTGATGGCAGCTCGTCCTGTTTTTTACTTCCCATCTGGTAGCTGCTATTCTCGCCTGCTTCCACCCTCGGGAATGTTAAGGAGTTTGCGACAGGAGACATCTCCGCTCGTCAGAAGGGCGAGCGAAAAAGGGTATCGGAAGGAAGATACCTGAATGTCGCCGTGCGATGTTCGCAGCATGTGTCATTCCCGGTGCTTCTCATGTCACTGTGATACGCCGATACCAGGAGACCGTCTCCTTCCAAAACCAGCCGGAGGGGGAAAGAATAGGAAATGGCCGTATCCGCTTCGAAAAGGGAGACCACCGAGAGCAACTGCCCGTAGCTGAAACGCTGGTCGTGGAGGAATTTCGCTGTGAATTGGGTGGGTAGAAAGGAAAGGAAAGCAAATGCAAGTGGATTTCTGATGCCCCGCGGAGGCTGGAAGGGCATCTCTGACGGGCCAACGGGTCTTAGCTTCGACTCATGGGCTATCTGTGAAGCCAGTTTGTCCCTCCGTGGGTGACGGACCTGGGAAACGGGCTCAGCTCGAACTGACAATATTGTCTTGGGGAGGGGGAGGGAAAAAAGGACCCCACCTTCCCGTTTGGGAACGCCATACCTGGAGCCAAAAAATCCACCCTCTTCTGCCTGCTTTGCTCCATGGAGATTTCTCCGTCAGACCAGTGAAGCTGCGTCTGTTTCCCATCTGGGTTCTCTGCTCTCCAACCTTCAGGCCCTGGTTCAGAGAAAGACACAGAAAATGGGAAACGAACGAACAGGGGACACAAAGGGATTGGGTTCCCTTGCGCCCTGCTATGTTGATTCCAAGTCCTGACGATCCTACGAAGGATTCTGAGGCATGGGATGAATCGAAGGGAGGCTTTTACCCGCGTCCCCCTTGGTGAGTTTCCACGCCGGTGCAGGGATTTGAACCCTCGCCTCCAGAGCCTTTGTCTGATGCTCTGTCCGTGACACCTGCCAGCCCTATTCCAACCTGCCTGCCTTCCCAAGGCGAAGGGGCAAGTCATTCTCCCTCTCTGGCTGAATTCCCAGCCTCCTTACACTCTGTGTATTTCAGGGAGAGGAGAAGAAAGAAAATGCGAGAATGCATATGACTGAATAAGTCAACTGCCCCAAAATGAGACCGGCAGGGGGAAAGCACCCCCTAGTGTACACTTTTCTAATTACAGAACAAGGTATGTTTTTTCTTCTCTCCAGTTTTTGATACATTCTCTGCCAGTGGTTGGCTTCTCTGACTTCCACTCCACCGACTGCAAGAGTCTGGCAAGAAAACCACTTATCTAGGCCGGCCGGTGGTTTGAACGGGAAATCGGTACCTAGCCGTATCTAATAACCTCTCACTCACAGAAAGCTCCAGACGATGCACCTTTAACTACATGCTGTACTGGGAACCGGGAGTGTTTGGGTTTTTTCAAAAAATACAATTATCCGAGCGCTCTAAGACTTTGCCCTTAAGTGGCCAAGCAGAAACCATCTGCCGTTCACGCACCGAGCAATTACACAGTCTAAAAGGCCAGTTTCAAGACAAACTCGGGGAATGCATTAAAATTAATGTGGCAATTCGCATTCTATTTTAAATATAATCAGTGGAGATTTTAATAGGATGACATTTCATGCCACCCCCTACTTCTTCTTTAAAAAAAAAAAAAGAGAGAGAGAAAAGCACACACATAGGGTGATGCTAAGGTCAAATTATGATACCTGTGGTCCATAAATCAGAAGAGTTACTCAGGGAAGCAGTAACCCCAGCTTTCCCAAGAGAGAAGGAATGCCTGGCATAGGGGGTGGGTGGGGGTTGAATGCGTTTGGAGGGGTCCAGGTTGTAGCTCCTGGACCTCTTGGCAAAGGGAGGTATTTTGCAACGGGGGGGGGCTTGTGATCAAGGGTCGTCCACTCCCCCCAGATTCCTGCATGCCGGGCCAGTGGCTCAGCAAACTCTCAGCCACTGCGGTCTTCAGCCGGGTTCACCAAGAGGGCCTTTCCGGCTGGAGAATAAACAAAACGCTGAAGGGAAAGCAGGAGGTAGACTTCAACGCAAAGTTTTAATAGGCCACTAAATTTATTTGGGATCCCCAGCTGTGTTTCTCCTCCCTCCCCACTTCTTTCCCCCTAAACATAACATCGAAAGTCTGGCCGCCTGTGGCTTAGAACGAAAATAAACGTTGCAGGCAGGTTGACACAGCTGCCTTTCCCAGTCCTCGAATCGTTTTGCAACGGGTCTCTCTACAAGCCATCCATGGATTTGGGAGCGGATTCTTTCCTTCCATGTTGGCAAGGATGCTCTGGGGGAGACTAGCCTGCCATGGCTTGGTTTCTCCCCTCTGCAGGCCGACTGGGACAAGGTCCAAAGAGGGTCGACGCAGCCTGGCAGATCGGCTGAGCTGGAAAGCTGACAGGGACCTTTCGGAGAACTTAATGCCAAATCATTTAGGGCAAAAAGGACGCAGGGTGTGACACACCCGCCCGCCAGAAGGAGCTCCCAGAAGCCCTTGGCAGTGTAGCAGAATAGCGTCAAGTTCACTAGAGGAGTCCACCTTTCTTTTTCTCATTAACTGGCACTTACAGTCTCAGTAACTCACCATGAGACATTAGTAGGAGAAAGAATAAAAGGTTTCCTTACTTACAATTGAACGGATGAAACAGCAAACGGACAGACATGAATGCTTTCAGCAACGGACCTCAACAGACTCATTGCTTTCAGCAGACTCAGGACAGGGGAAAAGTACAGAGAAGAGAGGTGTGGCTCTCTTTGAATTCAGACGGCAGGAGGGGACGATGGGTTGGGGCTGGACAGAATGACAGTCTCCCCCTGCCACCCCAGAAAGATCCCGCTCAGCCAAAAGGGCTGGACAGAATGACAGTCTTCTCCCCCCCCGCCACCCCAGAAAGATCCCGCTCAGCCAAACATACTAAAGGCAGCACATGAGGTTGTCAAAACTCCCAACTGTTTCGGTTGTTAAAAGCCTACTAAAAGCAGCACGCGAGGTTAAAAACTCCCAACTGTTTCGGTTGTTAAAAGTGGTGCCAAATGGATGTGGCTTCGCTATGTTGATGTAACCGCAGAAAACATTCCCAGCTACCTTCGCTGAAGTTGGAGAGGACAGGATGGATTTCGTATCCTGAGGACGCGGTGCAGGCCGTCGAGTGGCCGTAGCAAAAGCAGCGGGTGCAGCCGGCCGGGTTGTCGGGCTGAAGGTTGAAGCTCCCCGGTTGGCACCTGAAGAGAGAATCCATGTCACGGCGAACCAACAGAGAAGAGCTTAGTTTTATAGGGTAGCATCGATCTTCGGCCCCAACTGGGCTGGCAAGTGGAATCGGGGTGTTTTGGCACGGCTGGGGGTTCGATTTGCAGCTCAACTTCCATTACAATCCGCCGTGAGGCAGCCCCTTCCTCCCCTCGCTCCTCTTTCCCCACCTCTGCCCATCGTTGGATGGTTTGTGGTCAACCCCTCGATTGTGGAAGTAAAACTAGTCAAGAGCCCCAGAGACCGTAGGGAAGAAGGGTTCACAGGGCAGGAACGGGGAAAGGTAGGCATGGACCTCACCTGTTACAAAGGGACCCTTCCACCTCCTCCTTGCACGCGCACCGTCCGGTGTTAGCGTCACACACACCCACGCTGCCGGCTGGGTCACACAAACAAGGCCTGCGAGGAAGGAGACCAAGGAGACAGGCAGGGTTACGGCCAAGGATGCTGTTCAAGAAGGATCAGCGGGGGGGGGGGAAGGTTGCCCAGGCGCTGGAGTTGGCACGAAAACAAACGAGGGTGGTGCAGCCAAGAGGATGGCCAAGGAGAAGGGAAATGGTTGCGGAGGAAAAGCCTATGAGGAGCAGTACAGCCCAGTCACTCTGGACTGTCAGAAGGGGTTGGTCCCATCCGGGTTTTAGTTTGAACTTCTGTAGGATTTCCCTACGATGCAGAGCCCTACCCCATATATAAAGCCAGCCTCTTCTATAGTCCGTTCAATGTTTGGCCTCAAATCAGCGGAGTTGGCACGAAAAGAAACGAGGGCGCAGCCAAGAGGATGGCCAAGGAGAACGGAAATGGTTGTGGAGGAAAAGCCTGTGAGGAGCAGTACAGCCCAGTCACTCTGGACTGTCGGAAGGGGTTGGTCCCATCCGGGTTTTAGTGTGAACTTCCGTAGGATTTCTCTGCGGTGCAGAGCCCTACCCCGTATATAAAGCCAGCCTCTTCTATAGTCCGTTCAATGTTTGGCCTCAAACCAGAGCAGGTTTGCGGCGCTACCCCTGCCTCACCTGCACCCGCCTTCGCTGAGGGAGTGGAAACCTTCTCGGCAACGCTCGCACTTCCAGCCGGTCACGGTGTCTTTGCACTCACACGTGCCTGAGCTGTCACACTGGGGGTTCAAGGAACCTGAGAAGACAAAGGAGATGTAGGAGATCTTCGAGTCTATCAGACCCCCATGTTCCCACAGATATATGGGACGGATTCCAAGCCCCACCCTGTGGATGCTGAAAAACGTGGATGGTAGGAAACGCTATATTAAATAGCGAATGCTACAGATAGCATGGTTTCTGGCTCCCACTAGTGGCCAGTTCTGGTAATGTCATCTTTAGACAGATATATTTCTAGGATTTTTCTTTTTGTATTTTCACACTGTGGATAAGTGAATCAGCGGATGCCGATCCCGTGGATACGGGGGATCCTAGTAAATAAACTGTCAAAAGAACAACAAAGCATAACAGCAATGGATACAGGGGATCCTAGTAAATAAACTGCTGTTTATTTATTATGTCAAAAGAACAACAAAGCATAACAGCAAAAAGCATGTTAGGGGCGCCCCTCGAAGCTCGGTGTCACCTTCCGGGCTCCCCGAAACTACCCACCTGCGGGGTTACAGTTGCAGGGCTGACAGGCCACCTGGGCGTCCCAGCGGTAGAAGTTCTGGCGGCAGCGCTCACAATGGGGGCCAGCCGTGTTCTCCCTGCAGTTCCGGCAATGGCCCCCGTGCCCGGTGCTGCGGTAGAGCTCCCAGTCGTAAAAGCACTCGTCCTAAGACAACCCAGAGCTCTGCGTCACCTTCCGGACTCCCCAAAACTACCCACCTGCAGGGTTACAGTTGCAGGGCTGACATGCCACCTGGGCGTCCCAGCGGTAGAAGTTCTGGCGGCAGCGCTCACAATGGGGGCCAGCCGTGTTCTCCCTGCAGTTCCGGCAATGGCCCCCGTGCCCGGTGCTGCGGTAGAGCTCCCAGTCGTAAAAGCACTCGTCCGACCGGCCGCTGCAGTTGCATGCTGCGTAGAGATCATTAAGAGAGAGGGGGACCCCCAAAAGGGGAACGAGAGTCAACCTCTCGGAGCCGGTTCTCCCCACCTTGGTCAACGCAGGTATTCTGGACCGCAGCGCCCACAACTCTGCCCCAAACGAGGCCGACCGTTTCCTCTTTCAAGGACCCCAGTTCTGGTCCGAACTTGAAGGAGCTCTCTAAGGTGCTGATCTCTGTCTCTAAAATAAGTTCGGCTCGGACAGGTCCTTGAAAGTTTGGACTAAAAGCCGGGGTGGATAGGCCACTCGTGCAAAATCAAGAGTGGTTACCCTAACCCTTCACCCTGATCGCTGACGATGCCGGCTGGAAAACGCAGGGACATCGAGAAGGCCAAAGCCTGCACATTTTTTGGAGTTGTCTTCTGGGAAATATGCGACACTCCGTCCCAAATGCAACACTTCTGGGGAATCCTTCCTCCCAATCTTCAGGCACATGTGATGCACACCTACGTATGCGTGTGCAGACCCACACTCAATTGCCAAAACTGGATCAGCTAAAAATGTTTGGTCGTGGCTCTAGCTTCACAGCAGAGAGCGAATCTAGAGCCACTGCCACTATCAGCGGATATTGATCCCGCGGATAAGGGGGTCCTAATGTCCAAACCAAACGGCGCTGTTCAAACTCATGCAATTCAAGGGAGAAGCGTACATATGACTTACGGAGGCATTCGTTGGCAGACTCGGCCGTTCCTCGTGCCCACGGACGGTCCTGATAAAACGGCTGGCACCTCTCGCAGTCCACCCCGGTGGTGTTGTGCTGGCAGAGGCAGACCAGCTGATCGGCTTCGTTTGGGATGCATTCGCTAGCGTGGCCGTTGCACTTGCACCTACGTAAGACCCCAAGAAGAGAAGACACCCCCAAAGCAAGGCAAGTCCTCTTCAGCCTTGTACTACCTCAATATTTCTTCAACCCTCCATTGCTTCACACAGCCTCCAGAAACCTCCCACAGGGCAAAAACCCTCACCCTGAATCCATTTCCAAGGGTGAGTCTACCAAAACGGCTGAACCGGTTCTGGGGACAAATTTCAGCACTTTGGAGAGCTCCAGTAAAATCTGAAGTAAATAGTAGCACGCGTTCATTGTCCCCTAGAAATCAAGAGTCAGGAGTCTCCACTGCTCTAAGGTGTGAAAGCATAGGAAAAGTTTAGTCCACAACCATCTCCACGTGGGGTTCGAAAAAGCCTCTCTCCCTAACAAGACACCCCTTAAAGCAGTCCTTCCTAATCACATGTTCCTGGACTGCAACTCCCAGAAATCCGGGCCAGCAGAGCTAGTGGTGAAAGCTTCCGGGCGTTTTGGTTCAAGAACATCTGGAGACCCAAATTTCAATGCTCCCTTTCACCCGGTCCTTGCTTCCATAATACTATACATTTTTTTTCTCAGTGTATTAAAGGACAAGGGTTTTGTGGGTGGGCTGTTTGCGTCCTGCTCCTACTGGACTGCAACTCCCAGACATCCGGGCCAGCAGAGCTAGTGGTGAAAGCTTCCGGGCGTTTTGGTTCAAGAACATCTGGAGACCCAAATTTCAATGCTCCCTTTCACCCGGTCCTTGCTTCCATAATACTATACATTTTTTTTCTCAGTGTATTAAAGGACAAGGGTTTTGTGGGTGGGCTGTTTGCGTCCTGCTCCTATCAACTGACCTCTTTAATTTATTCTGTTTTATTATGGGCTGCCTCAGCATCTGTGGGAGATTCATAAAACATATCTTTCCCCTCCAAAGGACACACAAAGTTGGAGCGGGTGGAACATCATAAATCACGCGATAGGGCGTCTTGGTGCTTTTTCATGTGCACTTAACCTTGACTCCGGATCCCAGCTCTCTGGGCTGTTTGGCATCTGCTGGGGTCATCGCCTTGAGGGCGGGCGCACATGGGGGAATAACACAACCCAGAGGTCTGGGGCAGGATGAAAACATAGACTGAGTGTGGTCATGGTTGAGGTTTTAAGAACAGCCCTTTGCTCTCTGCTCCTTTTTTCCTCTGGCGTGTTATTTCAGCAATATGGTTAGATTAACAAAAGGAAGGAAGGAAGGAAGGAAGGAAGGAAGGAAGGAAGGATGGATGGATGGATGGATGGATGAATAAATGGAAGGAAGGAAGGAAGGAAGGAAGGAAGGATGGATGGATGGATGGATGGAAGGAGAGGAAAGTTTGAGAGGAAGCAGCCGAGGCATATTTTCCCGCCCCCTCATCTCTCCAGCAAGAGAACATGTTTGCTTAATTTATTAATTCTCCCACACACTTCCTTCAAAGCATCCCGGGGTGCTTAACCATAAAAATCTCTTTAAAGAATTTTTAAAAAATCTTCTCTTTCTGGATGGGGAAAATATTGCTGAATGCATTCAAAAGAGAGAAAGAAGGAAAGGAAAGGGAATCTTCATAGAAAACACTTGCCATTTTTATAAACGGAAAGTTAAAGCCAATCCGTACTTAGATATGTATACAGTAAACCTGATGGAAATAAAAAGGAATTTTAACTACAGTTTTATGGCAGATTAATCTTTTTAAAAAAACCCAATACTATACATTGCTTCCAAACTGAAAGAATGATAACTGTCTCACAATCAGAGCTTTACAAGTGATCGTATTAACTGTTTGCAGACTTATTGATTTTACTGGATTTTATGGCTATGTTTTGTTAGGTTTTATTTTAACCACAGTACTGTTGGTCTATTTCCCATCTGGTTTTATTGAGCTTTATGATGATTGTGAGCTGCCTTGAACACTACGTGGCAGTAGAAAGGTGGGGATAGAATTATTAATAACAACAACAAATATGTATGTATTTGTGTATTATTTAGACTGAATATGAACACCCTGTAAGTTGCACGGTTTCAGAACACTAGTAGAAGGGGGGACCAGCAAACTGTCTTAGAATATTTTATATATTTCCCAGGGAAAAACCCCTGGGAAGTGTATCCATCAACTGACATGAAACCACATGGTTATTATTATATTTATTTATAAATAAATTGTATTCTTATGTTTCCTAATTTGGCCTGAGGCTGATCAGAGGTAAGACTTTCCTGCAAGGAAGTGCCGACTGGGAAAGGCGTATATGGTTCCCATCTCTGCATGTTGACTTTATTAAAAGCCTGAATAATTCATGGAGGGAGACGTAGCTTGGAATCAGGGTGATCGCAGGTGGATCTGCAACAAAATGTCACAGTACGGAGGGCTTCTCTTGGGAATCCAGCCAACCAGACATGTTTGCTTCCATGAATTTGTTAGCCCCCCCCAAAACGACCCTATTGCGTGGCTAATGAGCACTCTCAGCTCTTTCTTACACTCTTCATGTGCGTTCCCCTTTTCCACAGTTTATTATAAAGGCAAATGTTCAGCAACGCAAACCTTGGGCTTCCCCGGATGACGCTCTGCGAGTAGGAGAACTTGAGAAACGTTCACCTTCCAAGCATTTCTTGGGCTACGAAACCCACAATTATCCATTCCGGGAGCCCTACCTGGCAGGCGGACGCATTAGAGACACACACCGTGCAGCCAACCTGGGAGGAAACGCTTCACCTGGGCCGTTCTGAAGCCGCGTGAGGCCTCGCTCTGCATACAAGCTTCCGGTTTCCCCCAGCTCGATGGGAATGTCCTTCCTGAACAGGACACGAGGCAGAGCGAGGGCTGCCTCGGCCTCAGAGTCTCCCATCTGAGGCCTTTCGTTCAAGCAAAACCATATTTAGGTGCCTGTCTGTGACACAGAACTCACAGAATGGAGAAGTATAGGCTTTGTAGTACAGGAAATTTTTTAAAAAAAATCCCATCCCTACTTCTCACCACTCCCCCAGTGCCTTTGCTCTGCCGAATCCGCTCAGCGTGATGGAAACGGACCTGCTCCAGCTTTGACCTGTACTTTCCATGAGCTCTCCAAGGTACTGGACATATAGCAGGAGCTTCCTCAAAGAGTAGGACAGCTCTGTGACTGGCATTCTCAGGGAACTCCCAGGCAGGTGATGGGGTGCAGCCGGACAATCCATCACTTCCAGAAGTGTTGCACTGGAGCAGCAATGAACTCACCTGCTTCATGGACACTGAACCC